TTATTCCATTTACCTCTTACATTCAGCTGCTCCTTTTCCACCAGCATCTTGCTTTTTTGATATGCTTACTCCTCTCCATATTTAAAAAGATAACTTCCCATTGATCTTTCCTTCCCTCTAAATCATTCACTTCCATCATTCTGGGAAAGAGTGAAGGTCTGGAGTCTTCCACTACCACACACACCATCTTGGTCCTTACAAGGTCATCAAAGACCAAATCCAATGGTTTCGTTTCAACCTATGCTACCCACGCTCTCTGAGTGCCCTTCCTCGGTCTCCTTCTCCTCTGTTCCTTCATCGGCCCCTAACTGTTTCCCAGAGTTTACTTGGCCCTTTTGTCTTTACAAAATTCTCCTATAAGTGGACACACCTACCTCTGTGGTGTTAATAACCATCCAAATATACAGAACTTATCCTCAAATAGGTATGTCCATCTCACACCCCATCCGGAGCACTGAATTCACGTGTTGAACTCCGTAAGGGTTCCAAACTCAGTAGTCTGTCCTTTTACTCAGTTAGTTAATGGCATCACCATTAACTATTCTTCAAGAGAATAGTCTAAACTCTTCTACCTCTTATCTCCCAGCCCACCCTCCACCACGGAATTAGCCTCTAATTTCATTCTAAGAGTTATTCAATATGGCTTTTTTCTCCATCCCCAAGGCCACTGCCCACGGTTTCATAGCTTCCGAAACAGCCTTTATACCGTCTTTCTCTGCCAACGGTGTTGTAACAACTGTCTGTTATCATTGTAAAATATGGGTTTGAGTGTATTACTCCTCTGTTTTATAGAAAGCTTTCATTTCACATTCTTCACAGAGCATATAAGAGTTTGTCCAATTTGGCGTCTTCTATAGTCCCGTGGTCTCTACATGTTCTCCAACACATAGCTCACTCCAAGTACAGCGCTCTCCTTTCCCATTCCCAAACGTCTGTGCGTGTTCACACCTCTGTGCACAACTGCCCTCATTCTCTCCCTACAGCTTCCTCTCCTGGCCCCGCTACCACAATTCTCCCAGGGAATGAATCTTCAGTGTGAAACTTTCTCTGGTTTCCAGGCCTAAATGAGTCACTCTTGTTTTCTCCTGATTATTATTATAATTCATTGAGTCCTAGGTACACTAAATGCTCGGCACTGTGCTGTGACAAAGATTCATAAACAGTTTCTTCTTTTACCGAAGACCTTGAGGCCCAGGATCACAGGTGGGAGGTCCTGGCTCCGAAGGCCACTGCCCCTTCTGGGAGCTCAGGACATCTTCCCCTTCTCGGTGCTGCTTGAACATGCCTCTGAGGGCACTCTTCATCAGCGTCATTACGATTATGGGAGTAGAACTTTCTATGTGACAGGCAGGTCACGTGCGTAATTTCAAATACCCCAACAACAAATCGGACACAGACGTTATTACTACCCCCATTTCCTAGTTAAGGAAACTGAAGTGGAATGATTAGCTTTCTCCCAGCTAGAAAGTGGCAAAACCCAGACTCAGTTCAGGTCCCCTCCACCACAGAGGTAGATTTCCTAACCACGGGACTGCTGGGGTAATTCACTTGGTATATCAGTGGGTTACCCAAGTGCTTGGTGGCATTAGCTTCTGAACGCCCCATCTGCCCACTGGCAGGGACACTCCAACTACTTCATACAGAACTTTCTGATTCCAACAACTTGTTTGGACTAATACCTTTTGGTTTTTACCTTATCTGCCAGACTGGACTCTTCCCAGCACCTGTCTTTGGGCTTATTTTCCAATCTCCATGCCTATGACCCGATCATATTTGAGGTTTCACTTCCTCCGATCTGTTCCCTCCTATTTCAGTTTAAGTCAAGCCCAGCTGCATGCTGAGATAAGGCAGTGGCTAATAGAAAAGCCAGGCTGTGTATTTGTATCTCAGGTAGGGGGAAAGCCTACTCATGACCACGGGAGGGAAATGATGCATCCATGCTGGGTGTGCCTTTGACCTAGGTCTTGTTTTAGTCCCACACCATTGTACGTTGAATTCTATGGTTTATGGACTTTAAGAAACTGTACTTGGCACCATACAAAGGGAGGGAACAGTGATGGAGAAATGCCCACAGCAGGCAAAACTACGAGGTAGACAGTGTGTCTCTGGCCCATTCACACTTCTTTTGAAGGCCCCTCTTCTGCTTCAATGCTGGATTTTGCCGTCATCTTTTCAGGCTGTTTCAGAGAGTGCAAAGTTCCTGGTTTGTAATTATTTTCTTTCCTCAAACTGAAAATACCATCCATTGTCATTTTTGCTTCTAATTATCCCAACTGCAAAGTCAACACTGAGTCTGCCCCTTCCTTAAAGGTAATCTGTTCTCCCACCCACCCACTCCCCGGGCTGAATGTAACATTTTTTTCTTTATCTTTAAGTGTTTTTGTTTGTTTGTTAATAAGTATGTATTTCTATTTATTCTGCTTGGCTGTTTGGGTTCCTTAGAATCCTTGTTTTTGTCTTATTGATGTCTTTCATCAGTTTTAGAAAAGTCTTAGTCATTAGCTCTTCAAATATTGATTCTGCTCCATTTTTTTCTCTTTTCCTTCTGGAATTACAATTAAATGTATGTTATATCTTCTTAACTCTACCCTCTGTGTGTCATTACCTCTCCTCTGCATTTTTTATCCTTTTGCTTATCCATACTTTTTGCCAGATAGGTTTTTCTGATTTACCTTTCAGTTCACTATTTCTATCTTCATCTCTGTCTAATATGCAAAAAATTTATCTAATATGCAATAAAAACCTTCCACTGAGAATTTAATTTCAGCTACTGTATTTATCCACTTATAAATGTTCAGTTAATTCCTTTTCTTTCTTTCAATGCTACTTTTTATTGTTTGCAGCCCTTGCTAAAAGTTTTAAGTTTTACCTTTACTTCCCTAAGCTTAGTAACTATAGTTGTTTACCAACTTGTGTCTGGTAATTTTAGTATCTGGCATATCAGTGTATTGTTTCCACTGTTATTAATGTTGTATCGCATTTATGTTATATTATCATCTCATATATATGATGGTATACTGGCTATTGTATATGAAAAATTATGGGTAGAAATGAGATGTAGGATGATATTTATCTCCCTTAAATTACTGGATGTCCAATGCTTAAATGCATTAGCAGTACAGGGTTCCCATCATTATTCCATGGTCACTCAGGTGACCTGTTATTAATGTTGTATCACATTTATGTTATATTATCATCTCATATATATGATGGTATACTGGCTATTGTATATGAAAAATTATGGGTAGAAATGAGATGTAGGATGATATTTATCTCCCTTAAATTACTGGATGTCCAATGCTTAAATGCATTAGCAGTACAGGGTTCCCATCATTATTCCATGGTCACTCAGGTGACTTGAAGCTAAGAAGCAGCCTCTATGAAGGCTGTTTTACTCTCATTTTACCTAGGATTTAGGATGGTTTACCAGGGCCTCCAACCTATTCAGGGTCTGGACTGGAACTTCGCTCCTCTTTGTCCTGAGAGGCTCTCAGTAGTGTTGCTACCCGCTTCTGGATCAGCAAATGCCCTATAGGCAAAAGCAGTCCCAGTACTAGGCTCAGGTCTCTCTCTGACATTAACTCAGAAATTTCACATTACTTGGGAGGTCTTTCTTGCACTTAGGAAGATGTTTTTAAATATCATCCAAAGTTTTTAAATTGTCTTTTTCAGGAGAGTTGGTGTAAGTTACCATTACAGAAAGTAGATATCCTAAACCTTAAGTTTGTATAATGCTTTGCTAATTTAGATTCTGAAGACTCATTTAGAAGGTTAATATGTAATCATAATTCAACTGAACTTTTAAGTACATTAATGATTTAATCTTATAAAATAATACTTACAATTATACCATTAGACTGGACTACTTTGAAAAATCTAAAACAATTTTGATTTTTCTTAAGTTAAATTTGAAAGGTAGTCAGTTGGAGTTTGTATAAGAATTTGTCAGGAAACTAAAATAGAAATATCCATTAGCTAGGAGAATCTGGTTGGTATTTGAATAAAGTGTTACAAAATACAAAATAAGAGGTGGAAAACCTTTTGTTAAAAATAAATTAAAACCAAAAAGAAAATCTCAAAATTCAATCTCACTTACTCACACATTAAGCATATAGCATTAGGTACAGGTGTCGGCAGTAAGAGAACCTATCTGTCATCTAAACAACTAATGGCCATATCCCTTCCCTCTCACCCCATTCTCCCAATATATTCTTTCTTATCAGCCACATTTGTTCAAATATCTTGATCTCAAGAAAAGTAGAACCCTGTCAGAACCCCCCCCCCAGAGGCTTAAAAATAATTGATTTAAAGTGCTTATGATAAATTCATCCTTCCATTCCACTATACTTTCCTAACCTTTATTGCAGCCAATTTTGGACAATGATATGTTAAAGGGCTTCTATGAAAAATTTTTCCTTTTTGATGAAAAAAATACAAAATGGAAACAACTAACTATTTCTTCTCCCTTTTCTCAGATTTGAACTCATTAAAAAAATGTTTGGAATTGCTGAAGTCATTTTTTTAAAATTGTTTATAGTAATAGTATTACATGTCTCCTTTTCCCCCGATTAACCCCCCTCCCACACACACACACCCGGCCACTCCCATCCCCAAGGGCAAGCTCCCACTGCCCCAGTGTCTGTGTCCATTGGTCATGCTAATATGCATGCATATAAGTCCTTTGATTGATCTCTAACTCCCCCTCCCTACCTTCTCCCAAGGTTGGATGGTCTGCTCCATGAGGTAACATAACAAAAAGCCAACACACTAAGAATGGTAGAGCAGAAATTGAAGTTCTAAACAACCCTGAGATTATCTATCTCCTGGTTTGTATGTAGGTAAAAAATAAATGTCTTCATATTTTAAGTTGCTAATTGGTAAGTTTCCTATGATTTGATGTCCAAAACACTCATAACTAATATATTTGCAAAATATGCTCATATGGCAATGTTTTGACCCAGGTTTGCCTCTAGACAAGGCTTGAAATTTGTGTCACTTACTATAATACAAGAGTCCTGAGGTTCAAGATCAAAGTCAGTGAAGTTCAAGAGAACACGGTGATTTCTTTCCGCTCGAATGACCCAGGAACAGTCAGTGTTACTTCTATAAGGACTGGGGTAATTTGGAGAATGAATCTCTCCACTGGGAGCCTGGAAAATCCCACCACAACCTGCAAGTAGAAAACCCAATTCATTAATGAGAAGAAACCCTGATACATAAAACTTTACCCCATAATGAGGAGATACTTTGACTACCACTTTTATGTAGTCTATGCTAAACATTTTAGACATGAATATCCACTATTAATTCATTCATCCAAACAAAACAAATAAGAACAACTAAGAAAATACTTCAAATATTTTATACTAATGCCAAAAGTTATTTTAAAAATACTGAAAAGTTGCCTGGCCAGTGTGGCTAAGCAGTTGAGCATCAACCCAGGTACCAATAGGTCGCCAGTTCCATTTCTGGTCAGGGCACATGCCCAAGTTGTGGCTCTATCCCCAGGGGGTGCCATGCAGGAGGCAGCCGATCCATGATGTTTCTCTCTTATGGATGTTTCTATCTTTCTACCCCTCTCCCTTCCTCTCTCTCTAAAAATCAATAAAAATATTTTTTTAAAAAAATACTGAAAAGTACGTGCAAATGAAATCATGTTTTCATAAAGCTATAAAATGCCTTGTCATGGTTCTCTAAAAATATAGCAAACTGTAAGAATAACACATCTCCTTCCAAGAAATTTGATTACTTCAGTAATGTATGCTTTTATAAATAATTTAATATCTGCCTTTTAAATTACATATGCATAGCCCATGAACACAGAAAACACCATTTTCACGTGTGATGAAAGCCAGGGGAGAGGGGCTGGGGGGTTGGGTGGAGGTGGGCAAAGTGGGTGAAAATGGGAAACATCTGTAATAGTGTAAACAATAAACAAAATTAGTATTTTGGACCTGGTACATTTATTGAGTTTTTTATTCTTATGTTATTATCAAATACCCATCAATGTCCACCTCTATGACCCATTATTTCTTAGATTGATAATGATACAAACCAATAATTGAAAAATCAGTATTATCTATATATATAAAAGCCTAAGCAACCGTCTGACTGGTAGCTATGACGTGCAATGACCACCAGGGGGCAGATGCTCAATGCAGGAGCTGCTGAGCTGAAATGACTTGGCAGCTGGGGTTCTCAGGTGACTCACCAGGAACCAGAGAGGAGGGAGCCAGTTTCTGGGGTGCATCACCAGAGAACCACCCTCTCGCAATCTGGGACCCCTCGGGAGATGTTGGAGAACTGGTTTCGATCTGATCCCCACAGGCCAGGCCAAGGGGCCTCTAGTTTTCTAATAACTGCAAATCATTTTTGGGTAATCTAAATAATATATATTTATAATTATAATTAAACTAGACGCCTGGTGTACGAAATTCATGCGGGGTGGGGGGGTGTCCCTCAACCCAGCCTGCACCCTCTCCAATCTGGGACCCCTTGGGGGATGTCCGACTGCTGGGTTAGGCCCGATCCCTGCTGGCCCGATTGCCCCCAACTGCCCTCCCTTGCTGGCCTGGTCGCCCCAATTGCCCTCTCCTGCTGGCCTGGTTGTCCCTAACTATTCTCCCCTGCAGGCCTGGTTGCACCTAACTACCTTCCCCTGCAAGCCTACTTGCCCCCAACTGCCCTCCCCTGCAGGCCTGATCGCCCACAACTGCCCTTCCCTGCCTGCCATCTTGTGGCAGCCATCTTGTGATGGTGTTGCATGTAACACCACCTAGGCTTTTATTATATAGGATTCATACATTATTGACTTCAGGAAACATGAGATATACTTGTTATATTACCTTAAGAGTTACAAAAGTGGGGCCCTAAGGTAACTTGAGGTTACATTTTTGCTTTGGCACTTTCTCGAAGTCACTAACTTCTCTATGCTTTGATTTCCTCTTTACTACGATGAGTGTAAGAAATGAACTACCCTCCCAGGGTGGAAATGAGATGAGTCTTATAGAATAGTAAAGTACCTGGCACATGGTAAGCATTCAATAAATGCAGATAATATGAGTAGTTGTACAGGTTAACATCTGCTAAAATATTTTGTGCATTAAGTTTTTAGTTAAACAATCTGCAACAGGTAACTTATTCAGACTGCCTAAGTTTTGGGGCAGAATGTCACTATCTAACCCCTGGTAATTCCTTGGAATTCACAAATTTAACATTTACAGTTTTAACATTTGCCAAGAATGCAAAGGTCTAAACTGTGGCATGAAGAAATTTACCACTTTGCTGCTTCCCAGCTTAAGGCTGGTGAACAGGCACAAGTCCTTAGAGAGGAAGTGAATCTAACCAGTCACCCACTCCCGCTCTCACCATTGATTCACATATGTTCCTTGTTTTCACATGCACCGTGACTCTTCAGAAGTTAAACTCTATCCCATTTTTTAGGGAAGAGTATATGCCCAAGTAGTATTCACCACTAGGGAAGTCACAGAGTTGTCAGGGTGGAGCCTTCATACCTCTCTCCAATCATTTCATCAAAGTTCACAAGGGCTAGGCTTCAGTACTTTGAGATTCCTCTTTGGTTCACTCACCTCCAGGGACAGCTTGCCATGAGACATTGAAGCCTCTCCCACTGATCACGCTGTCAGTCTTAAATCGGATGGCGAGCTCATGTCCTGTGCTGGAGACCTGCATGGGATTCTCAGGTGACCTCCGGGTACACAGCTGGGCTATTCTGGGAGAGTGGAAATCGGGGCCTCCATAGATCTAGGATAGGATGCAGTAAAAAAAAGGACTTAAATTAGGAGAGATATTTGAGCAAATACAGCCCTCCATGACTCACTTTTCCACCAGCTCTTGAACTTTATTATCACTAGAAATTGCAGTCTCGGCCTCCCTGGGTGGGGATGAACTGTAAACTTGAGCTGGATTTTCAAAGGCACTCCCTCTGCCCTGGGAACTCACAAGTTGCACCACCCACGAAATGCTTGCTTATTTTATCAGTCGGAATTGCAGAGCTGAACTGGATCGATGATTCCAGAGTGTCCCCTACCTCCCCTCTTCCTCTTTTTCATGTCTTCAAAGGATTTCCTGCTTTCTTTGGCAGAGGCATTGCTGGTAATGCAGAATCAAGTCTGATTTTCTAACTCTTCTACGTACTTTAAAGCCATCTTGTTGGTGAAAATCAAGTTCATTGAAGGCTATTGATCTCCCAGTTATATTTTTAGGATTTTCCACTTTATAATCTGAATATTTTATAAGATTAGGCATTTAATTAATATTTCTGCTTCTTCAGAAGGAGTGAGTCTACGGCTATACCACCCTGACATGCCGATCTCATCAGAAGGAGTGAGAATATAACCTGTATAGTGTGTTCTATGGTATCCTCGGGAAAGGAATCCTTCCCCTTTCCAGCATGCCCACGCTCAGGAATATGACCGAGAGCATCCAACTTTGCTCAGGAACTGCCCTGTGCTCGGCCTCAGTCTCTGGATGGTTTCCCCTAGATTTATCTCAGTTGTCCTCAGACCTAGGCTCCTCCAATTTGCAACTGTCTATCTGACTGGGCTCTAACATCCCACTGATGCATTCCCCCCAGCAAGTAACCCTTTGGTCTCACATCCAGCATCTCGCAAGCAAGTCTAGTCCAGCCCAGGCCAGGCCTCCAGGACACCTCACACACCAGTGGATCCTGCTTATCCGGTGTATGTGTTGCATGGAGGGGGGTGGGGAAGATAATCAAACAGAAGATATTAAAAAATAAAATTAAGGCCCTAGCCAGGTGGCTCAGTCAGTTGGAGCATCGTCCTGTACACCAAAATCTTGCAGGTTTGATTTTGGGTCAGGGCACATACTTAGGTTGTGATTCCATACCCAATCTGGGCACATACAGGAGGTAATCAATCAATGTTTCTCTCTCACATTGATGTCTCTCTCTCTCTCTCTCCCCACTTCCTCTCTGTCAAATCAATAACATATCCTTGGGTGAGGATTTAAAAAACATTTTTTAAGTAAAATAAAATAGGCTTCCAGTCAAGATGGTGGCATAGGTAAATGCAGTACTCATATTCTTTCATAACCACATCAAAATTACAACGAAACTACAGAACAACCATCTATCAGAATCATCTGAAATCTAACTGAACAGAATCCTGCAACTAAGCATATAAAGAAGAAGCAACATTGAGACTGGTAGGAGGGGTGGAGATGTGGAACAAACTGGTCCCACACCAACATGTGTCAGATAAAAAAGGGAGAGCGAGCCTGGCCAGTGTGGCTCAATGGATTGAGCATCAACCCATGCACCAAGAGATCACCATTTCAATTCCCAGTCAGGGCTCATGCCTGGGTTGGCGGCTTGATCCCCAGTAGGGGCATGCAGGAGGCAGCTGATGGATGTTCCTCTCACATCAGTGTTTCTCTCTCTCTCTCTCTCTCTCTCTCTCCCCCTATCTCTAAAAAATCAATTAAAAAAATTTAAAAATAGGGAGGGATATCTCAGCTACTATCTCTCTCTCTCTCTCTCTCCCTATCTCTAAAAAATCAATTAAAAAAAATTTAAAAATAGGGAGGGATATCTCAGCTACTAAGGAGCAAGGGGTTCCAGGCCCACACCAGGCCCCCAGCCCAGGGTTCCAGTGCCAGGAAGAGAAGACCATAACCTCTGGCTGTAACAGGGATTGGGCTGAGTGAGACAGAGGGCTTCTAGAGTCCCAGGTGTTCCTGTTAAAGGGTTCGCACTTGGACTCATTTGCTCTGAGCTCCAGCACTGGGGCAGCAGCTCAAAAGGCACCAGGGACATATGAAGAGGAACTGAATTGTCTGGCATCAGAATGAGGACTGGAGGGGCAGCTTCCTCCCAGGCAGAAGTGCTGGCAAAGGCCATTGTTCCTTTCATTAGCCTTCCCCTGACAGAGCTGGTCAATGCTCAATCCACTGAGCCACACCAGCGAAGCTCTCTCCCTATTTTTATCTGACACACATGGGTGTGGGACTAGTTTGTTCTGCATCTGAGACTCCATCAACCTGCCCATACTGTTAGCTCCACCCTGGTAACTCCCTGAAACCCCCAGCCCACCAACTTTCAGGTCTACCCAAGCTGTTTTCACTGGCTTTCCATACAAATGGCCTGTCGTGGCTCATGCTTCACACTCTCCTAAAATCTCTCAAACAACAGTATCTGTCTTTGGTGTGTCCCTTGACACTTGCTAAGTAGCCCCAGGCCCAGCACTAGCAGCAGCTGGCCTTGGTTTGTAGCTTGGCCTCTCCTGGGCACCCACAAGTCCAGCACAATAGCAGTCATCTGCAGATCACTTTGTAGCTCATGCCAGGAGGCCCTGGGCAGAACACAGGTGTTGGCTGACCTTGACCTGCACCTCCCAGGAGGCTGCAGAACCAGTGCACCTGGTAGATAGCTTCAGACCCCATTGAAGCAACACCCAACCACCTCCACTAGTGACACACTCAAGGGGCAGGCTCAATGGGCCCTAGAGCTCTGCTGAAGTAAGTCCTGCTCTGTGCGGGGCTGGGGGCCTGTACAGCTGATCTTTCACAGTGGTCCCAGCCAGTCCTTGCATCCACTCAACCTGAGGGTAAATCCCTTCCATTTAGCTGCCAACAGCAATCAAGGCTCAACTACAACCACACAGTCCACACAGGGGAGGGAGGCGGGGGGGGGCAGGGGAGGTGGGACATGCACCTGGAGTGCCCAGCTCAGTTGAATGAGAAGCTGTACCATTGGACCCTATAGGACACCTACTACATTAGGCTCTGCCAAGCCTGGGAGATGTAGTAGCTCTACCACATACATAAAAACAAACACAGGGAAGCAACCCAAATGAGGAGACAAAGAAATAGCTCCCAAGTGAAAGAATAAGATAAGGAACTAAATGAAATGGAGAAAAGCAAACTAATTGATATAGAGTTCAAAACAATGGTTATAAGGATGCTGAAGGTACTTAGTGAGAGCTTCAACAGTATAAAAAGGACATGGAAACCATGAAAAAGAAACAGTCAGACATGAAGAATACACTAACTGAAATGAAGAAAATTTACAGGGAATCAGCAGTAGAGAAGATAAAGCCGAGAATCAAATCAGCAATTTGGAACATAAGGAAGCAAAAAACACCCACTCAGAACAGCAAAAAAAAAAAAAAAAGAGGATAGTGTGAGGAGCTTCTGGGATAACTTCAAGTGTACCCACATTCACATCATGGGGTGCCAATAGCAGAAGAGAAAGAGCAAGAAAAACTATTTGAAAATATAATGGTAGGAAACTTCCCTAACTTGGTGAAGGAAATAGATGTACTTTCTGGGAAGTGCAGAATCTCTCAAAACAATGTGAACCCAAAGAGGCCCGCACCAAGGCACATCATAATTAAAATGCAAAAGGTTAAATGCACAGAGAATCTTAAAAGCAGCAAGTGAAAAGGAGTTAGTTACCTTTGCAGTCTTACCCATAAGACTGTCAGCTGAAACTTTACAGGCCAGAGGGAGTGGTAAGAAATATTCAAAGTGATGAAAAGCCAGGTCCTACACCCAAGATTACTCTACCTAGCAAAGCTGTCATTTAGAATCGAAGAACAGATAAAGAGCTTCTCAGATAAGAAAAAGCTAAAGGAGTTCATCACCACCAATTCAATATTACATGAAATGATCAAGGGTCTTCTTTAAGAAGAAGGGGGCGAGGGGATGTCAAAAATATGAATAACAAAATGGCAATAAATACATACCTATAAAAAAAGAAAATGATTGCCGAGAATAAAATATTGGAAATTTATGAAACTGGATAAAACATCACTGAACAGGATGCTCTGGATTTTGAGTAACAAAAAAGAAAATGAGGCAGTTTCCCTTAATTTCAGAGAGATAAGATGACCTCTTATAAGAAAACTGACAGAATTTACAATCAGAGGCTGTTTCTGAGTTTATCATATGATTCTCTTTTTTATATTTACCATGTTTGTGCATTGATACATTGGGCTAAAGGAATAAGTGGTAGCATTTTCAACTTTAAAATAAATAAAAAATTTTTTAAAGAAGATATTAATCCCCTACCATCAGGTCTTGAGAAACTTAAATTTGTGGAAGAAAGACAATTTTGGACAACAGTTTTCAAGCATATTAGTGTTTGGGTCCTTCCCTCTCCCACATGTATGCTCATAATCCTATGCTCGGGATGGGAACCAGGAAAGCAGTGTTCAGTAAGATCTGTGCTGCTTTCCACCTCCAGTTACTCTCCCCCATCCCTGGGGCCCCCTGCCCTTGCCCACCCTCATGGAAGCTGTTGACTGATAGGGAAAACTCTCAAGTGTTCTCTGGGGAGAGAGAGTAAGAACAACAAGCCTACTTTGGGGGAGTATGTGATTTGAATCTATAATGATTTCTTTGTCCAATTAATTCCCCCAGTCATGCGGGAAAGACCAAAATGAATGAAACTGCTGTTGCACAGAGGCCTGAGCGCAAGGACTGTAATCGCAAAGGAATGAAGCACTGACAGCTTCATGCTTATTTTCATGAGGAGGAGCTGTGTTTGTGTGGCCCGCTCCGACCCATCCAAAGCAGGACTTCAGGAAGAGCCCTGTGTGGCCCTTTCCACGTCCACATATGCAAATGCAAGGAGCAACACTGCTTCTTGTTTCTGAAGATTTCCCTGCCCCCTCGCCCTGGGCGCCGTGCTCAGAGCATGAAACTGACAGCATGTGCTCCTAATCATCCAAGCCCAATAGGCAGCACGTATTTGGAGAGAACATCGGGTACCAGGGTTT